CCTGCTCTCGGTGGGGCCCAGGTCACTGGCTGCAGAGTGGTCCGTGTGGAATTGCTGTGGTCGGGTTGGTGGCAATTCCCTTTGAAACGGCATTCACACTTTGGAAAACACCTCCCCGCCTGGCGGTGGGCAGCGTCCATGTTGGCTCTCAGCGGAGGCCCGGGGCTGAATGAGCTCGTGGGATTAAATTACACCCACCTTGGAGGTGGCCCCCGCAGAATGGCCTGGGCTCCTGGGGGAGACGGAGCCATTCGCCTCCTGATCCGGGATCTAATGCGCTTCCCTGGCGAGAAGTGCAGCTGGGGAGAATGTTTCCACCTGTTTCTGGTGGCCTTTATCTGTTTACTACGTGTGGAAACTTGATCACACTTTCCAGGAGGGCGGCTGGTTTTGGGTGTATTTTGTTCTTTCTGAACTGACTTGTCTTTTCTCTTTCCTTGAATTAGAGCTGACCACGTGTAAACTTCATCCTTCTAGCCTAAACTTTCTTTTCTCAGTACTAGAATTTCTTGCTTCCATCCTGGAATCTCGGGGTGTTCTGGAAGGGCGAGTAAGAACCAGCTGTATTCTGGCTTTACTATCATTTTCTCTTTATTTTTCTTTAGTCAGTAACCTTGTTAGATAGAAACTTACTGTTTGAAGGTAGTTCTGTGTGTTTTATTTCAGATGTTCCTTAATCATCCTGAGATATACACAAATCCGTAGTCTAATGTTGGTTCTTTTTTCCCAACCTCAGCTTAAGTGAGTTTCCAGTTGTCGCCATGGGTGCTGCGGAGCGTTGGTCGTGGCTCCATGGCAATTAAGATGTGACCTGGAATGTAATAGCTGTAGAAATGCTCTGTGCTGTGTTAGCTGTGCCGCATCCCTTGGCCCAAACGGGAGCTGTGAGTGAGGAGGCTGCAGTTCCCAAAGAACTAGAGCTCTTCTCTCAACTTCGGGAATACTGCCTTCCCTAGTGGGGCTGTAGTAGTGCCGTTGTCCTTGCTGTGAGAGGTGTGTTGGGTTTAGTACTCCGGAAGCTGTTACACGAAATCTCCTTGTTCTGCTGTGAACTTACCTGGTGAACATTTCCTTCAGGCTCTTTCTCCTCTGCTGTTTTCTCTGTGAATGCCCGAGAGGTTGTGAGGGACAGGCGTTGGAGTCTTTCTTCTCCCTCTCCTCAGTCCTTTTTGCCCTGGTGGCACTGCTCTTGCATGTTATTTGCTGATAATTTCGGAAGAGTAAGAATGCAGTCGTAGGAAATATGTGTATACTTAGTGATATAATTGTGTTTTATGGCACCTGTTAAATGCCCCTGTTAAGCCCTAAGCAGGGAGAAACCATGTGGAAACTGGACTGGCATACAAAGAGGCATTTTTTTCCCTCCAGGTTCCTCCACTTCCCAGGAGAACCTGAAGCTTACTTGTCCTGTAAATGGATAGTTGCTTCTGACTTGAGAAATCAAGCAGTTGCCTTTTCCTGATCTTAATTGTGGGAGCAACTTTAAAGTACTTTGTGCTGCTTCCCTGAACTCACGTACCCACGTCAGAAACTTTTAAAGGGCATCTTTGACTCACTGACATATCGCTAGACCCCAAACCAGAATAGATTCCAAAGGTTACTCACTGTTTACGCTCAGCTTGCACTGAATTCTGTGAATCTCTGACTTCACTTGCTAACCTACTACTCCTCTCTCTCTTCTGGGCAGATAACTTACTGTGTGATTTATTCTCTTGAAGCAGAACAAAGCCTGGGGATTGCGCCTTCAGAAAACATCCACCTGAAGTGATTCTAGGAAAGGGACAGAGGGGATTTAATGTGTTTTCCATACATTAGGCAAATTGTAAGTAGTAATTTGTTGTTGGTTTTGCTTCACTGAGCTTGCAGGCTGTGCAGTGAGGCAGTCGGTGTGAGTTTATGGTCAAACATCTGCTCCAGGAGCCAGAGGTGGGCCTGCCCCTCTGCCGACGGCTGCCCAGGAGCCCACCTGAAGGAGTGGGTGGGCTGGACCTCCCATGCCAGCTTCACAGAAGCCAGCTGTGGGTGATCTGCTGCAGATGAGTGTGGAAGTGGAGGCAGCTGGCTCTGCAGCAGAGTAGCCAGGGAGTGACTGCGTGATCTCTTCTGTTGGCTCCTGCAGAGGGGCAGGAACAGTCTGGGAGAGAAAACGTCTCTAACTGGCACACTCGCTTACGCAGTGAACATCTGACTGTGGCTTGAATTCTTCAGAGGAGGTAACGCAGGCTTTTCTGGGACACTGAATTATTTCTACTGACTGACAATGTGGAGTTGTTTGGGGTTTTTTTAGTGCGTTCTGTGTTTTCTCTAATCTCCATGTCCAAAATAGTGTTAGGAAACTGAATCAATGTGCCGTGCTGATTGGGGAAAACACAGAATGTTTGCGTTTCAAATGGCTGTGCAAAACAACTTGATTTCAATTTAGGAGGAAATGAGGATGATTCGGTCAGTAGGGAAAATAGCAGATGTAGCAACTGTTGTCATTGCAGCTAAGACTAGAAGAAAGAATTCCAGAGTCCTTCAGCTTGCCGAAGGTGGGTCGTGCTCTGTGCTAAGTATAGCAGCTCAGTGTGAGCGTGCGCACGTGCCGTGGTGGTGGCCACTGTTGTGCAGATGCTTGCCACGGCAAAAGGTCGTAAATAAGAAACATTGGCCTTCTGTTAGAGCTTGTTTCCTGAGCAATTAGAGCATGGGGCATGCAGTCAGGCTTCCCAGGTACTACTTTCCACTTTAGTCTTGACTTCTCTTGTGGCTTGCAGCAGGCAAAATGGTTTTAACATCTGTAGATGTTCCTGGGAGCTTGTTTAGGGGATAATGTGGAATTACGTAGATGTAGGGCTTTGCTGTTCTCCCATCTGACTGAGGGTCATCTGTGGTAACGGCTACTAGCTGTGGTCACTTCCAGCATGAGGAGCTCTGGAGGGTTCCAGTGTTCCCTCCTCCAAAGACCATTCTAACCTTCTGGTTGTATCAGTTAAATTAACCCAATAATACTTTTTTATTTGGATTTTCAGACGAGCCATTATTTCTGACTTCTTTACGTTAATTCACAGTCTTCATGGTTAGTGTCCTGTATTTCTAGTTTCCAGTGCTAGAGAGACAACGAGGTGTGATTTTTATCCAGAAGAGGAACTGCCTGTGAGACTGAATTGCCCCCTGCCCATCCCTGGTAATCATGGCACGGCGAGTGAGCTGTAGGGTGTTGCTTAACACACCTTAAGGGTGAAAGAGATGGAAGTGCTGAACCCAACTGGTTGCAGGTAAAGCCACAAAAAGATCGTTCCAGAGGATGGAAAGAGTATCTTTAAAAAGCAGAATCTGCCTGTGCATCTTCTGTCTTACTGCATCTTTTTTGAGCTATCCAGCAGTGATAAAAGTGACTGTTGGTGGTGGAAGATGCCCCTCAGCAAGAGCTGTAGTGGTGTTGAGGCTGTTGATGCTCTAGTGATACGAGGTAAGATTTGTTGTTACTGGTGGCGTTGATACAGCTGGGAAAGCAGACAAGCTTCTGGATGTGGTGTGTTTTTCAGGTCTAACAAAGAAGCCATAAGCATCAAGCTGGAAAATGGGCTTAGAAATAACAGCTCTGTGTAATAACTATAGGTAACTATCGTTAGACAACTGAAGAGAAGAAGCATGAGCAGTGCCTGTGGAGAAGACTACTGGGAGGGAACAGGTGGATTTAGTCCTGGTGGAACAGAGGAACGTGGATATTTGCTGACGGAAGGTCGGGGGCTCGCCAGGTTGGAAGCGCCGGTTCCGCGGTGCGGCTCTTTCCGCAGCAGCCATGTGTAGGAGGCTCCTGTCTCGCACTCCGCCGCTTCCTCCGGCAGTACCTTCCGTGTCCGTGCAGGTGGCTTTGGTGTGGTGCTTCAGGTAAAACTGCACTTCTGGAGAAGTTTGTCAGATCTGCGGAGCGATCTCCTTGAGAATGTTGCTCTGCAGCCAGTTGGGTTGGAATAACGGTTGGGGGGTGATCGTGGGAGCAGGATGGAAGACAGGAAGCAGGAAACTGAGTATCGCAGCATCTGAAACAATCTGTCCTGGAAGAATTGTAATGGGGAATGCCAACCCCGAAACTATTTGTGGTTGCAGTAAACTACATCCTACAGGGTTCCTTAGGAATGTTTTCCATAGCCTGCGAATGTCTTTGAGCGTAGTGAAAATGTAACGGCTTTTTCAGCTCCTGGCAGCTCTGCACTGGGATGTGGCAGGTGAAATGCCATCCGAATGGCAAACTGCGTCCGAGACCGTTAATTCATTAAGCAGAAACCTTGGAAAAAGAGACAATCCTGAGGCAGCGTTCCCATTCCAGAACAGTGCGTTGGAGAGGAGAATAGTTCAGAGACTTCAGATGACACTTTTTTTTCCCCCTTCTAGTTGTAGATTTGTTTTCTTAAGCCTAAAGGTAAGGGCTACCTACTGGTGTCGTGTTCTTTGCCCACTGCTAGCACGAGGGTTGGGGTTGTACTTACTAGTGAGAGGGCAGGATGCTTGGAGTAGCAAGGGAAGAGAATTCTTTCCAGCTCCACGCTCCCGTGCAGCCACAGCTGTGTCCATCCTTGATGGTGCTGGTGGTGTCTGACGAGGAGCTTTGCGTTGGTCTGGCTCAGTTCTCCAGTTTGTTTTCCACATGTTTGTTGTCTCAGGATAATATTGTGTAGCACTATAAACAGTTTGGATTTTGTTGTTAATTACCTTCTGAGCGTGGTTACAAGTGAGCCAGCATCAACTGCGTTTAAACCTGGTTGCTACTAGGTGTTTTTTACAATGGGTGTGGATCTATGTTTTGAGAGAATTCTGTGTTTTCAGAGCTAGCTATGTTCTGCGTAGCGAATCACAGAATAAAAGTAAACTTGGAGCATAGTTTCTCTTACAGTATTCATAGAGTCTGATCTCAAAATTCCTTCTTTCCCTCTTGGCTCACACAGCTCCTAAACCCACCAGAGCCTACAGTGCATGGTCTCATAACTGCAAAATTCTCATTCTTCCTGAAGTGGAGGAAACAGTTCTGTCTTCTCAGTTATTTTGACATGTACACTGGAAGTACCAGTTTCCAGTTCCATTTTGTTTTTCATCTTGTTTCCACATCGGTCTCCAGTGAGCTTGTGGTTGCTGCCGGTTTCACCCTGCACTCGCGGTGCGTGCCCCGGTGGTGTGAGTTGTGTCCTGCTTTGCTTGTTGCTTCTATCACAGCGCAGGTTTTCAGTGTGTTGTTTTTATTTCTGCATAGACACTTAATTTGGAGCCCATTTATTGTAGAGGAAGACCAAGACCCTCTGGACATACCTCAGGACTAAAATTCCCGTGTGGTTTTTTTCTTCTCCTGAGTCACAATATGCAAATTTGAGTTCTGATGATAGTAGAAAAAGGGGGGGGGGGGGGAATTAGCTTGAAGTGAGATGTTTCCTGAGGCAGCATTCCCGTGAGGGCAGTCATATTTTATCTGTTGTTTCCTTTAACGTTGTACATAATTACTGCGAAAGATTCGTCAACTGCCAGCTCATCCTCTCAACTGAAGTCTTCTCTTCCGTGCGTGCATCTGTGATCTTGTCTTTACCGTGGGGCCTGTCCAGTCCCCATCCTTCATTTCTGTCTTAACAGATTGGGAGGGTGGTCCTGATGTTGGAAGGCTGGATGATGACCTGAATCTCGTACTGCCTTAGTCAATAAACTCCTTTCAGTACCGTTAGTCTCTCCTGACAGGTGTTACGGACTCTCTGAACTTAGTTGACAAACCTGAATTTGAATTATTTTCTAATTACTGACGTTGGTGAGTAGCTCAGAGGTTGAGAGATGCTTTGTTTCATTTATCTCGTTGTTCTCTCCACAGGAAGTCTGTGAAATCCCGCAGCCGAAGTCCTGGCTATTCAAGACACTCATCATCTCACAGCAAAAAGCAGAGGTCTGGGTCCCGCAGTCGCCATTCCAGTATCTCACCGACAAGGCTCCCGCTGAACTCCAGTCTGGGGGCTGTTTTAGGGAGCGGGCGGCAGCGGCGGCCGCGGCAGCCAAGGTGGATGGAAAGGAGGCAAAGGGCTCGCCTGTTTTCCTGTCTAGAAAGGAGAACAGCTTAGCTGAACATAAGGAGTCTGGAGCAGAATCTAAAAAGGTCATCAAAACTCTGAAATCTGAAAAATCGTCTTCAGATACAGAATTAGTGAATTTACTGTATACGAACGCAGAGACTAAAGCCCCTGCGGAGACAACAAAAACCAAGGCAGAGGAGAACTCTGAGAGGAAGCATCCTGTTCCAGTTAGAGATTCAAAACAGACGGGAACAAAAGACTTGAAGGCTGTAGCAGTGGTAGAGGACCTCTTATCTCCAAAAGAGACAGACACAGCACAGAAGGAGATTCCACCCCCACTCCCCTCAATAAAATCACCTCCGCCACCTCTACCGACAACCACACCGCCACCTCCCACTCCACCACTGCCGCCTTTGCCTCCATCACCCGCTGTTCCACCTTTGCCGCCATCCCAGCTGCCTCCCGTTCAGGTCCCTACTTCAGCCCCAACGTCTTTGCCATCTTCTTCCCACCCACGGACGTCTACTTTATCCTCTCAGGTGAACTCTCAGTCCTCTGTCCAAGTCGCTACAAAAACACAAGTGTCTGTGACGGCTGCTATCCCACACCTGAAAACTTCAACGTTGCCTCCTCTTCCGCTCCCCCCTATTTTAGTTGGGGAAGATGACTTGGATAGGTAAGGTCACACAAGAGCATCCTGTTTGCATTTAAAAGTGAAACGTTGACGTAAACTGGTTTTTTGGTTAGTTTGAGCTTCTCCTGCGGTGCGTACTGGAGACTGTGCCGCTGGTACAGACGCGTTATTGCACGGCCGTTCCCAGTTTTGGCCTTGTTGGGGTTATGGGGAGAGTTTTATGGTCCTGTGCAGGTAGTTACGTCTGTCTCGGGGGGAAAGAGAGGTCTGGCTGCCGTTCTAGTGCTGGCTGGCAAAGGTTTCACCTCGGTCTTTGTTCATATTTATTACAGTAATGAAGCACGGATCCGGAATTCTGCGCTCTTTTGCCTTGCAGCCATTTGCATGGGCTTATTTTGAAATTGCTTTTTTGTTTAATTCCTCCAAAACCTGCACTGAAATGACAGGAAAGAGCTTAACAGTTCCAATTCAAGGACACAAACCAGAGCTGTTTCTGTTCCAAAGTCATCGAACATGCAGCCCATGCCCGCATGTGAAAAACGGCATCGGTTTAACTTCAGTATCGTCTTAATTATTGAATAATTAATCCGATCCTTATTGCTTGAGAAGTAGGTATTTGTTTGAAAATGAGAGAGTGAAACTGCACCTACTTCACCTTTCTGTAAATTTCTTATAATTTCTAATCAAAACATGCAGACTTAATTCTGTCCTGTAATTGTAGCTCTTGAGTCTTGGCTGGTGGTGGTCTTGGCTTCTAAAACAAACTTGTCTGAAGAACCTTACTGTGGGGATTTGTTTTGTTGGGAGAGAGAGGGGAACGGAACAGAATATCCAGAATGGAGTTGAAGAAAAACAAACTTTTTTTTTTACCCTTTTGCAGCCATTAGTATGTTGTAGTGCTGTTAACTAAGGTCATCACTGAATTTTTTTTTTTTTCCTACTTGATCTGCTCAGCCTGTAGTTCCCTAACAAGTTCCGTATCTTTCCGACCATCGCTAAAGCTGTACCAGGTATTTCATGGCGTAGTGAAGCGTGTTTTTTAATGAGTAGTGTGTTACATGATGGCCATGACTTGATATAATTACCCTGTGGTTGAAGTGAAGACAGCATGTTTCATATCCTGATTCATTTAATTGATTTTCATGGTTCGTCCTGGTATCGATGTAAATTAGGGTGGTGATGTCACTGCAATCAACGTAAAATTTAGGCTTGTGCATGTCTGTGCTGCCCTCCCTGAGCTGTGTGGTGTCGTTTGGCAAATATCTGTTTATTTATAGGTGTCTGTGATGAGCAGTAGCTTGCAACAGGTTGCACATTTTTCCCACCTCAAATGCCAGTTTAAGCAGGATTCTGCTGCTGCGTCCCCTTCTTTCCAAACACAGAAATTGTCCTGCAAATACTTTTTTTTTTTTTTTAGCCACTCATACCTAGAGCTCTTTTTTACCACCCAGGTGTGGCTTAGTTCTGTAAAATGTGTTTTACCTCTGCATCACTCTGAACTTGGGGGTGTGAGCGGTAGCACAGCTGGTTGCTAAGCTGAATAAATGGATTTGCAGCGACTTTTTCCCAATAAAAGGACGGGAAATCCTGCTTCGTTTTGCTGAGTCCAGTGGCAGTTGCGTGTGGCACTGACTGCACACAGCAGCTTGCTCTTAATCAACTGCTTTCATATTTAGGAACAAAACTTTCCTTAGATAAGGCTTTTTTTCACACGCTGAGCGCGGGAGAGCGCTCCGACTCCGAGAGCGCGGTAGGTGCAGGGTTGGAAACGTGCTGTGGAGTGTCCAGGTACAAACCGCTTGGTTCAGTTAGACACTCTGGAACCCTTCTCACTGCTTGCTGAGCTCTCACAGCTGTCCAGAACAGGTAGGTGCAGGGTTGGAAACGTGCTGTGGAGCGTCCAGGTACAAACCCCTTGGTTCAGTTAGACACTCTGGAACTCTTCTCACTGCTTGCTGAGCTCTCAAGACTCCTCAGCTGTCCAGAACGTTTTGGGTCCCTCCACCAAGCTGCAGGTGTAGCAGGAGGGGGAAAAAGCTTTTTAGAAGTGAAGGGAACGAACCTTGTTCGTGTTCAGCGTCGCGCTCGGAAGGCCCATGGGTTCCTGGGAACGTCTGGTTGAGTGTTGGCAGCACTGACATAGTTAAAAAGGCAGACGTGCCTGGGCACAT